TGAATTCTGCTCCGCTATTAATTAAAGCCTTGAAAAAGTAGCCAGTTCTGGGAATTGTCAGAATCATCATTAGAACAATTGCTTGATGATGTGAAACAAAAGGAGTTAATTTTACTAGGAAAAACCTTAGAAGCTTTAGGCATTTGCCTGAGAAATATGTACAGTTGTAAACAGAAGGCCTATGAAACCTTTCTTGTGGGAAGAAAAAGACCTAACCTAAGCTGACAATATCTGAGCTTGAGAATTGAGAATGGAAGAGAGTTGAAGTTAGTGATATAAAGTAAACTTCAGAGAGATTCAAGACTATGTATTAGAATTTTCCTAGCAGAAAGCTTTCCCAGGGAGATAGTAGCCTTTTTCTTTCAAACCCAGGCACACAAGGTCACTTAGCTCAAACCAATCAACTACCTGCAAGCTGATAAAGATGGTCTAGCTCAAGGGCAGTGATCTCTTTGAAGGCAAGAGGAGAGAGTTTGTTTTGTAAAGTGTGAGAAAGCAGAAGTCCTTGTGCCCAAGTCAAAGCATCTTCAAAGATTCTTTTTGTAAACTGTTTAATGCTGTTCTTTTCTGTTTTATGATTTGATGATGTATGCCATTGCCAAGTTCTTTGATTGTAAAAAAATATATAATCCTGCACTGAAGTAAGTAAATCGCAACAGCATGTCTCAAAAACATTGAGAGTGTCTGTGTGTCACTTTTCCTCGCCGTATCCTGATTTCTCCTGTGCCCTGATTCCCTTACGGTCTGAGTGGCTCTCCTGAGCCGGTCCATAGCAACCCATTGATAGGTTTTGTCCTCATTCAGTCCTCTCTAAGTCTTAGAGATACCAAGAAATAAAGGCTGCTATATACATTTTTTAATTCTTTTCCCCCAACCATGAAAAAGTGCATTCCATACTCTCTCATTCCCCCTTGAGATGCCTTTCAGAAAGCTTCCAGCCTGGAATCTGACCTGAAAGGTCCTAAGCTTGTTCAGAGTTGTCATCAAATTTCTTGCAGAGTGACAGCTAGGAGTTGGATGTTGCTTGGTTGGTAGAAAGCAAGGTGCTATTTGACAATAGTCTTGTACTCTGTAAAGTTTTCTCTCTTGTACTCATTAAGTAAAATTCTGACTGGCCAGTAGCCAGGCAGGAAGTACAGATGGGGTGATGAGAACAGGAGAATTCTGGGAAGAGGAAAGTCAAATTCTGAAGTCATTACTCAGACTAAGGGGAATCAACATGAGAATGCCTTGCTTTAAAAAGATACCAGGCCATGTGGCTAACACAGACAAGAATAATGGGTTAATAATGATTAGTTAATAAGAAAGTCCAAACTAATAGGCCAACCAGTTTTTAATTAATGTAGGTCTCTGTGTGTTTCTTTGGGACTGAATGACTGCAGGATTGGGTGAGACAGAAATTTGTCAACAAATGGTACCAATGTGGACAACAATATCCACATAAAACCTGGGAGAGCTTGGGAAGTAAATCTAGACACAAAAGATCAGAGTTAAGGACAGCTTCTTGGTATCAACATTTTCTTGAGTAGGCAAGTGTGTCTCATTTAAGAGAGGCTTTCTGACTCATATTTAGCTGCAAAAACCTTACAACCCATTTAAGAAGCCCTGCCACAAAACACTTAAATGGTGTTTATGAATAGCCAACAGCATGCATTTTGGTGGTGGCAACGACCTTGAAACTTCACAGAGTTGCGGCAATAAGCATGGCTCCCACCATTACCTTTGCCATGAAGCTAGACTCTCAGAAAGCTAAGGGATGGGGTGAATTCATTCATCAAAACCATGTCTTTAATCTTAGCCATATTGCTTAGCAAGTTAAAAACTCATGTGGTCAGAAAAAGAGAGGTATACAGTAAAGATAGATTCAGGGGAAAAATACCATCTAAACAGTTTACAGAGTGTTTAAAAATACATGTAATCTTTTTTTTCAGAAAATTTTTTATTTTTTATTAAAAATTACCACCTCTTCACATTTTCTTCCCCTTCCCCTTCCTCCCCTCCCCCTCTCTCTGCAGTCCAAAGAGCAGTCAGGATTCCCTGCCCTGTGGGAAGTTCAAGGTCCTTCCCCTCCATTCAGGTCTAGGAAGGTGAGCTTCCAAACAGACTAGGCTCCCACAAAGCCAATACATGCAGTAGAATCAAAACCCAATGCATTGTCCTTGGCTTCTCAGTCAGCCCTCGTTGACAACCACATTCAGAGAGTCTGGTTTGCATGTTCCATCAGTCCCAGTCCAGCTGGTCTTGGTGAGCTCCCATTAGATCAGCCCTGCCGTCTCAGTGGGTGGGCACACCCCTCGCAGTCCTGACTTCCTTGCTCATGTTTCCCCTCCTTCTGCTTCTTATTTGGACCTTGGGAGCTCAGTCTAGTGCTCCAATGTGGGTCCTGTCAATATATGTAATCTTTGGAGAGAAAAGAAAAAGGATAAATTCTCGAAAGAAAGGAAGAAAAAATAAAGAAAGAAACAGAATAATTGTGAAGGCACACACTTTCAATCCCAGCATTTGGGAGGCAGAGATTGGTGGATCTCTGTGAGTTCCAGGACAGCCAAAGATACACAGAGAAAGTCTCTCAGAAAACCAAAAATTAAAGTAAAAATAAAAGAAATAGAGTTTAAAATAAAACCATGTAAAGATGGAAAATACACAGAGTATTTGGATATTGTAAGTTATATTATAGTCTTTGAATTGTTGGACTGCTGAGGAAGGTACAACAGCAGTTAAAAGACATTTGATTATAAATGCTACTGGATTAACCCAACAAACATAGTTTGAAAATGCTTTGACTTCAAAATTTAAGTCAAAAGAAATGTTACTTTGGAAAAGAGGTTTTGCTTTTGTTTTCACAGGAAATGAGAGGTTTTGGGCTCATTATGGGTTAAGAAAAAACAGGTTGATCAAGTAAGACTCCCTGAGAAATATTCAATAGGAGCAGATGGCCCAGATGATCCAGTATTTCAGATGACCTCTGTTGGAGTTTCCTTTGAATTCTACATGCAGAGCATCCTCAAGACTGCTGGTTGAGATAATCAGCCTTCACAGAATATTCCAGTCAGGGCTTGACCATAATCCTAAATTTTCTTTAGGTACCCATAAGATTATCAGTGGCCCAAATCTGCAGGAAGTAGCTTAGAATTCTATGCCCACATTCCCCCCAAAAATGCATTATGGATGTTTATCTTTAGATGTTTTATGTTTAGAGTGTTGGCTATAAGTTGTCATACATAATGGTCAGGAAAAAGCTAAACAAATCTAATCTCTGATTAGATTCAGAGGTTTTTTTCTGAAAAGAAAAAAAGGGAGTGCTATGGGATTATGGTCTTGTACTATATAAAGTTTTTTTTACTTGTACTGGTTTAATAGAATGCTGATTGTCCAGTAGCCAGGCAGGAAATCTAGGCAGATGAAAAGAACAGAAGAATTCTGGGAAGAGGAAAGGCTCAGTCTAAGGTCATCACCCAAACCAAGAGGATGCAAGATGAGAATGCCACACTGCCATGGATTACGTGGCTACCAGACAAGAATAATGGGTTAATGTACAATGTAAGACTTAGCTCATAATAAAGCCCGAGCTAATAGGCCAACCAATTTATAATTAATGTAGGCCTCAGAGGGTTTCTTTGGGACTGAATGGCTGTGGGACCAGGAGGGACAAAAACCTCCCGTTCTTCTGGGAGTAGTAGCCCAGAAGAACGGAATATTCACACACTTACTGTTGTCTATTTGTCACTGAGCTTCATCCTACAGCATCCTCTATTCAGAGTCAGTGCTCAGAAATTTCATCTCTCTAAATCTTTTTTGCCTTCAGTTTACTAGATTCAGTTTTATAGGGTTTTACTTATAATGGCATATGTAGAGGATTTCAATAAAGTATATTTACATGAGCTCCAATGGAGTATAATAGAGAATTATTTATTTTGGAATAGACTCACAGATCAACAGACCTCTGAATGTGTGGGGAACACGAACTGAATCCAGCAGCCAAGAAAGAGAGAGAAAGACTGTGCATGTTTTTATATCTGTTTCTATAGTAACAAGGCCATGCCCAAATCGTCCAACATCTCAAAAGTAATTGGCTGAAGGAATTCCCACAGCACCTCCCCTTTTTGTCTAAATAAGAAAGTTCCAAACCCAATGCAAAACTAAATACAAAAAGAACAGATATCAAGTATACAAATTAGAATTACAACCAGCATAAACAATGTTAAGCAATAAATATATGCTAAATGTTTCAATAATTAATCTATGCTACAATGTCTAGGTCTTGTATTAAGAATGGCTTGGCTAATTCATGAGAGAAAAGAAACTACAACTATCTAGTCTTCAACCACATCGGAGACTTGAGAAGGGAAATAATATTACTTGATTAAACAGGAAGTCCAATCAAGCAATTTCCAATATGTGCAATAGATGACAGATACAACTGTCTACCCAGACAATCGGGTAGACATGCATAGTAAAAGCAAAAATGTTATAAAATTCTTAGGAGGTGACACTGTCTGCCATTATACAATGTTAAAATTTATTTATTTATTTATTTATTTATTTATTAAATTAACTTACCTCTGTTATGAGAGTTCAGTAAATTGTTCTAGTTGTAATAATCTTTATTGGCCAGCAGTTGTCATGGTTGTGGGTGCACATAACACAGAGACACAACAGTCCTGCTCAGTTTTCGTGGCAGCGCTTCATTTCACATTGTTGGCAGATTTAAATACTAAATTATGCTTAACAGATTGATAGCGGTTAATTTGACTCCATACATGGAGAGCAGTTTTGGTGATCAGACTATCAGGGAACTCAAAGTTTATGACTAGCAAGCACAAACATGTGTGGGTGGGCCAGGTATGGGACCTCAGCATTTGCTGGAGAGACTGCAGCTAGTAGGATGGACACAGCAGGAATTGAGGTAGAAGAAAAGCATGCATAGGCTGGCAGGCAGAAGGAAGTCACCAAGTTGCTATCCAAAATATTTGTACCTGCATGTCAAAGATGTAACTCACCTGTGGAGATTTTTCAAGTCAGGGGTACCTGCTCTTCCGCATGCAGTTGCTGCTCCACCCTGCTCCATAGAACAATAGTCCTGAAACATGAATCAAATCAAGCAGCCAAGGGAAAGAGACTGTTTTTATAGTACCCAAGGCCATGACCAAAGCAGTCCAGCATCTCAAAGGCCGTTGGCTAAAGGAGTTCCCACAGCAGGCATTACACTGTTATTTTAAGCTACCACACTTCAATTAAAATATGTCTTTGTAGCTGGGTTATGGATTCCTCTCATCTAGACCCAATCATGCTTTTCTAATTATTTTCTTCAAAAACTCTGTCCAATATATATTTGCTATAGGACAGAAAAAGGACATAAGAGGGACAGACTATTTCTAAAAGGGACTATTACTATTTATCTCACAATCTTTTTGTTTTGATTTAACTAAAACTTTTGCTAAGGTATAAATCTCATCTCAAGATTTTTAAGACTATTTGGTAAAACTTGTGTACCTCAAGATTTGTAAGCATAATGGATGGAATTAAAAGTCTGTAATGTCTGTAACAAAATGCTAAACTTAAAATGTGGAACAACAAAGTTGGTAGTTAAAACTTCATACATGGTAATCTCAAAGGAAGCATGTGATGACTGCTTGCCACCTTCTTAGCTGCTGTGTTCCATCAATGGATCCACCCATGTATATGATAGTCATCCTTGCTATAGAAGAAAGATTTTGTCATATGAATTTACTTCCATGTGGATTAAACGGGACCTCCTAGCATCAGCAAAACAAGGAAAAAGGAAAAATACCACTACTTTAAAAAATATTTTGCATGTGTCAACAGGTTGTATGACCTCTATAACTTTTCTGAAAATTTGAAACCATCCCAAAAGCTAAATTGTATTAGAAGATATTTTAAATTATGACCCATTTTTATGTCCTAACACTTGTTGTTGAGTTCCTGGTATTGGATCATGAACTGAGGCTCACAAATTATGCAGAATGATTTTTGGATGAGTTCACTATTGCTTAACACAACAACCTTTGACTGTTACATCATCTATTTTTCATGTCAGTAGCCATTTGACAATGAATGTTGTTATTAATTATTTTTTCCCTGCACATTAAATACACCTCCCAAGATTTGCTACAAACTGAACAGGTGGATAAAGCTGGAATTCTAACTGCACCAACAAAGAGTTCTTTGCCATGTCTGACTACCTTTGGTATGAAGGAATACCTTTTCCTACTATAGGATATGACAGAGAAACACTTGAAAATTGTGATAAGTTTGTGATAAGAGATGAAGACACAGTCATATTGACTTACCCTAAATCAGGTAAGGAACATCAGAATGATTGTGAACTGTATGAGGCAGTTTAGGACTTTGATCAACATTTATTTGGGTAATGAGTGGATTGCTCTATAATATCTGATGTTTAAAATAGTTTGTGAGAATGTAGAGCTGTGTGAGAGTGCATTTTCTCTCAAAGAAAGACCTCTAAACTGATTTGCATCAATAGAGGATCAGTTAAGCCATGAGAGCCATTTTAGGGGATCCTAAAGCAAACTCTGATGTTGTTCTGTCTCTGTGTGGAAAAAATAGTAGAAGAAGGAGAAAGATGAAAATAAACAAAAAAATTAGGTATCAAGAGAAAAAGGCTGGAACTGTGGGTACTGTGAAGCATGATTAATAAAAATCTCAGGGAGAGAAATTAGTATTCAACATGAAGACACAGGAAGCAAAACAGTCAACTCTTATCTTGACCTCAGTTCAAAAATGGCAATCCTGCCTCCAGTAATCTCAGTATGAGATTGTGTCTGAGAATCCTCCATTTTATATTCCGTTCTAGAGCTGGGATTAAAGGCATGAACCACCAAGATTAAAGGTATGAACTGTCGGGTTTTTATGTCAAACTAGTGTAGCCACTGGGATTAAATGTGTATGTCACCGCTACCTGGTCTGTATGACTGACCATTATGGATGTTTTACTCTCTGATCTTCAGGAAAGTTTTATTTATTAAAATATAAATGGAATGCCACTACAGGACTGTTTTGATGTCATTAAATTAAATCCAATTATAATAATTGCAAAAGAGAGGAGTAATTCAGATTATGTTTCTAGCCACTTCATTATCCTACCTGGCAATCAGCTCTCCACTGTTGCACTATAATCTATTAACAAAGGACCAAAGGGAACTCCAACCCAGATCTCTGCTAAGTCCCTCACTGTCCCAAAGTGAAAGTGTGCAAACCTTATCCTCAATTCTTATCTGTTCATATACACAGAGAGAACCACATGCATAGGGCTTCATCATCCCAATACCATTGACTTATTGGACCAAATTCACACAACTTTTCCCACTTTTTGTCTAATTAAGTATGTTGTAATTCTAACACAAAGTATATGCAAAAAAATAATTATCAAATGCTATTCAGAAGAAAGAAAAGGTAATAATATAAACAAAATTGCTACAAATAACAAGAAAAACATTAAACAAGAAACTCATTATAGATGTCCATATGATAGGTAATTGCCAAATTGCAGGGATTACTTACTCCAATAGCTACCCTTACTGAGGAGAGCAAGCTTTTTGCCTAATACACACTAAACTAAGATTTGAGAGCCTTTTAATAGTAACTATCTAGTCTTCAACCCCATCAAAGGCCTAAGAAGTAAAGTAATATTACCTGAGTAAGTATGGCATGTCAGCTAGCAAATTTCAAAAAATGTAAGAAATGGCAAAAACAGCTGGCTGCCTGTACAGTCACCCACCGTTCTTCTGCAACTTTGGGTCAACCAACTTTGGCTGTAGGTATAGAATGTCTGACAGATCATTTTTTACAAGCAGGAAAATTTGAAAGATTGTTTTCTAGGCAAGGTTTATCAATCACTTGTCCTTTTGTCCTGCTTGTCTGGACTGGACAGAATGGATGTTTACTGTCAGCAGTTGAGGCAAATGCAGTTTTTGTCCTGTAGGCCAGGATTGCCAAATAGAAAACCAACTCCATATGGAGATTTCAGTGTTTATCATCCTCTCTCGAGTAGATCAGTCCTTCTTGGAGTAGTCATGCCTCATGTTACCAGAATTATTAGTAGTTAAGTCATTTGAATGCCATATTTTATAGGACTTTGAAATGTTTGAAGATTAGCTATCTTTGTGGAATGTATCTCTGCATTCCTAGAAAACCCAAATAACATGACTATAAGTTTGACAAATATGAATGATGATTAAACTATAATTCTATTAGCCTCTATTACTTAAAGAATAAAGCTTCACATTACAAAAATAAACAATCTGTAAACTGATGTACAATATAAGAACAATGACCTCAAAATTGTGACAATATACAAAATTATCTTAATCAGAGGTAGAAATGTATATCACAATATAACAAAAATAATATTCATTTCCATCAACATACAAAACATCTTAAACATAAGTAGAAATATATACATATAATATAGTATGACAAAATTAATTTTACACTTGTATTAGTATACAAAAATATTTTAAACAAAAGTAGGAACATATGTGCAATATAACAAAAACAATTTCAAATTTTCATCAATGTACAAATTACCTTAAACAGGAATAGAAAAATAATTTTAAATTTTTATCAATATTCAAGAATCAATACAAGTGCAAATTATTTAAAATTGTTAGTTGCTTATTCACTTTACAAATAGATATAACAATCTACCTTATTATCCTATCATTTCTAGCCCCCTTGTATCTATAGCCTATGAGATCTTTTTGTGTAATCTCTATTTTCCTGCACCAACCATATAACAACTTTTTACCAATACTCAACAGATAGCTATTTTCCATAACCTTGAGGGAAACCAAGACCATCCACCCTACCTACTAGAAGAAGGGACATTGTTTTAGAATTCTGCTGTCTGGTTGCAAGGGTATCTCACAGAACTCAGAGAAATCCACCTGCCTCTGCCTCCCAAGTTATCAGATTAACGGTGTGTGCCAACCTCTGCCTGGTACAAACTTTAATATTTAATTGAATTAGGACTACAATTTTTTTGAGAAGTTAAGAGATTTTAATTTTTATGTAGTAAGATTTTGCCATGTAGAGAATATCTGTTACATTAGGCCAGAATATTCTTTGCTTGGAAATTTTTCCAGATAGTTTTCCCTTCTTCTTTTGATGTCTAGATATACAAAGGTCTTTGACTTGTTTAAGATGGGTATTTCTATTTTTCTGTAAGATGAGAAATAGATCCCTGGCCCAACATTTACAGGGTGTATAGTCTTCCTATAAGTCGAATTGCTCTATAGTTTGATGAGCTATCACTTTTCCATAGTAAGAGATTTCTTCTGTTCAAATTGAATCTTTATAAATTTTGATGGCATCCATACCATTTTTCTACTTTGGAAACAAAAGCAAAACCCATTCCCTAAGGTAACACATATCCTGATTTCCATTCTGAGGTCAACACATCTTTACAGTATGCAGGCTTATTTAGTTCAGTGGTTTCTCCTATTGTTCAATTTCTTTCCACACTTGCTTTTCTTTTCTCATTAGCATTTAAAAAAATATAAAGTTAATAAAGAATTGCACAATCTATCTCTGGGTGGCCTTTATTTCTGTTTATTAAGCATTTCTTTTATAGTGTGATTAGATCTTTTACAGCCACTTGTCCAGTTAGATTACATAACATACCTGCAAATGATTCATATTTTAATATGCAGAAACATGTTTTCTTTTACTAAAGACTTATGCTCCAGCACTGTCAGTCTTAATTTGTACAGGTATTCCCATGATGTCCATGACCTCTTTTAGGTGTATACTTACAGAATCATCATTTTCAAAGCTCAAAACAGCTGTCCATTGAAATCCTGATACAACGTGTATCTATGATATTCTATACATATTAAATTTTCTAAATTATTTATTATGAGATATTCATCTTTCAAATATCATTTCTTTGAGTTCTTTGAATAAAATGGGGCTAATTCCTTTTGGTAGTAAAATTTGATTACAAAAGGAACAAGGAGGACAGTTTAATATAACTTCCTTGATTGTGGCCAAGTGAGGAAAAGTACTTTTTCAAACCTTGATTATTGACATGGTGCTTTTTATGAAATTCTGAGGCATTCAGTACATTTTCTATGAATATCAATTTTATCATTACTTTGTGACAGAGGGCCTGTCAGACCTATATGGGTTCTTATGTGTGTTATATATATGGGATGATTTCTATTCCTGATCATTTCCTATAATTGTTTAAATGGGAAAACAAATTCTGGCTCAGAAATAAGTTCAGCAATTTCAATGTGAAAAACAATCCTTCCTGCATATTTAAAGTCAGTAACTATATGGGGAGGTTCTGTAATAACCATTAATACCATAAGAATGGTATACAATTCTGACTTTTGGACAGAATTATAATGACTTTGAGACACTTTATTCAAATTTCCTTATTTATGTCCCACCTTTCCTGAATTATTTTCATCAGTATTGAATGTAAGGGATCCAGATATTGGTGTTTTCTGTATAATGTGAAGAATGATTCAACTGGTTCTTTTTATGTATTAAAGACTGGTTTTATGGATATCTGCTGTTCATCCCTCTCAAAAATTTTCTGCAAGCTCTTTGCCAGTGTTCATTTTCTGCCCACAAAGAGGAAATTTACTTATCAGTAAAAGGTACTATAATTTCTGCTGTATCTATTCCTGTCAGTTGTCAAAGTCTTAATTTTCCTTTTAGAATCAACTCAGAAATCTTTTCCACAAGTGTTTTTAATTTCTTATTGAGTTTATGTTGTAAAAATACCCATCCCCAGATAATATCTTCCTTCTGCATTAAAATTCCTGTAGGGGAATTGATAGAGGGTAATATAACCTGAATCAAATCAATCTCCAGATTAAAAAAAATACACGCATACATCCTGTTTTCTTTTACATGAAATCCAATTCTCTCAGGTTCCACTGTTAATTCTCTGGGACTATTTAAATTTTGGCCACCTTTTAAGGTTTGAAAAAAAGTACTAAGTTCCCACATTGTTATTCCAATAGTGGTCCACAGATAGACAATTTCTGTCAGCAATCTTTGAAAGTCATTAAGTGTCTGCAATCGATCTCTGCTAATTTGCATGTTTTGGAGTAAAATTTTGCTTAGGCCTATTTTATATTCTAAATAATTAATAGAATTTACTCTGTGTTTTTACAGGAGCAATTTTAGTCACCAGCAAGACAATTTTTTTTTTACATTTTTCAAATAGTTCTTTCCAAAGTATCTATATTTGAATCACCAAACGAGATATCATCCATATAATGATAAATTATAGATTGAGGAAACTGTATATAAATTATTCCCAACTGTTGTACAAATATTGGCACAGGGTGGGACTGTTAGCGTCCCTTGTGGGAGTATCTTTCATTGGTATCTTTTAACAGGGTGAGGATTATTATAAGTAGTCACTTGTAGTGCTCGTGCCACAGTAGGTCAGCACGGGAGTCAGGAACTAAGCTGGAAACTTAAAAACACACACAGACATACAGACAGAGACAGGAATACACAGGTCATCCTTGATACAAGAATGCCAACTTTATTGTTCTAGGGGTAGCTTATATAGGGCTCTGGCCATGCTCCAGCTCTTGGGATCTTTCACTCTCAGGCCCACCAGAAACCACTCTGCTGCCATCAAGGTCTCGTGCTCAGAGCAGATGCAGGCACAGGTAAATAAGTTTTGTTTTTGCTCAGTTCACTCCAGCAGGCAAATAGTCTGAAACAGGCAAAGAAAGTCAAGGGGCCAATGGTACGCAGCCCGCATTAGGCACCATGAAGGCCAAATTTTCCCTATCCTTTTTGTGTAGAGGTATAATGAAGGAATAGTCTTTTAAATCAATAATTATAAAAAGCCATCCCTTGGTGGCAAAGGAATTCAGGGCTGTAGAAAACCTGTAGGCTGAATTACTTTATTTATGCCTCTCAAGTCTGTCAGCATTCTCCATTTTTCATTTTTTAAATTTTTTTCATTACTTTATAAATCATATCAATCAAAATTTCCACTTCCTCTGCTCCTCCCACTCCTGCTCCTCCCACTCCTGCTCCCCCACATACCCTACCCCTCCAGTCCTGAGAGAGGGCAAAGTGCCCTGCCCTATGGGAAGTCCAAGGCCCTCTCCCTACATCCAGGCTTAGGAAGGTGGGCATCCAAATAGAGTAGGATCCCAAAAAAGCCAGTACATGCAATAAAGACAAATCCCAGTGCCATTATTATAGGCTTCTCAGTCTGCCCCATTTGTCAGCCACATTCATAGGGTCCAGTTTGATTCCATGATCTTGCAGTCCAGCTGGATTTGGTGAGCTCCCATTAGCTCAGGCACACTGTCTCAGTTCATAGCACTAAGTGCCCACATAAAGAAAACAGAGAATGCTCACATTAGAAACTTAACAGCACACCTGAAAGCTCTAGAAAAAAAGCAGACTCACCCAGGAGAAGTAGAAGACTAGAAATAATGAAACTGAGAGCTGAAACCAACAAAATAGAAACAGAGAAAACAATCCAAAGAATCAATGAAACAAAGAACTGGTTCTTTGAGAAAATTAACAAGATTGACAAACCCCTAAACAAACTAATCAAAAGGCAGAGAGAACACTCAAATTAACAAAATCAGAAGTAAAAAGAGGGACATAACAACAGACACTGAGGAAATTTAGAGAATCATTAGGTCTTAAGACAAAAGTCTGTACTTCACAAAACTGGAAAATGTGAAAGAAATTTTTAGATAAATACAATATACCAAAATTAAACCAAGACCAGATGAACAATTTAAATAGACCTATAAGAAACAAGGAAATAGAAGCTGTCCTCAAAAGCCTCCCAACCAAAAAATCCCAGGGCCAGATGGTTTTAGTGCTGAATTCTACCAGAACTTCCAAGAAGAGCTAACACCTATACACCTTAATGTGTTCCACATAATAGAAACAGAAGAGTCATTGCCAATCTCTTTCTATGAAGCTATAGTTACCCTGATACGAAAACCTCACAAAGACTCAACCAAGAAAGAGAATTACAGACCAGTCTCACTCATGAACATCGATGCAAAAATTCTCAATAAAATACTGGCAAAACGAATCCAAGAACACATAAAAAAATCATCCATTATGATAAAACTTCATTATCATAGGCTTCATCCCAGAGAATCAGGACTGATTCAATATATGAAAATCTATCAGTGTAATCCATCATACAAATAAACTGAAAGAAAAAAGAAACATATGATCATTTCATTAGATGCCAAAAAAGCATTTGACAAAATCCAACACCCCTTTATGATAAAGGTCTTGGAGAGATTAGAAAGACAAGGATCATATCTAAATATAATAAGAGCAATATAAAACAAGCCAACAGATAACATCAAATTAAATGGAGAAAAACTCTAATCCAAAAAGAAGGCCCTTGCCTTCTGGAGTATGCAGAATGTGTAGCAAATGCCAACATTGGAAGAATGGAGGCAGTTCAACAAGAGACAAACATTCTATGTAGGAATTCCCTGTCTACAATCACTTTTTAAGCATCTCTTTTTGCCATAATTAAAACATTCAACATTTTGGTTTCTCTTTAAGCCTTTGGAAATCAGCCCTCCTACCCAAACTTTATCAAAGTCAAGATATTGACTTTGTGTTTAATGCATTCCTTCATAAGTGCTGATCTAATCTTTAATACACCAATTATTTTTTGCATTGTGAATTTGCATTTTCAATAAACCAAAGTCTGGTGGTGGTGACACATTCTTTTAAACCAAACACTCAGGAGGCAAAGGTCGGTGGAGCTCTGTGAGTTCAAGGCCAACCTGAACTACAGAGCAATTTTCAGGACAGGCTCCAAATGTACAGAGAAACCCTATCTCAAAATCAAAAAGTACAAATGTCAAAGATCAAATTATTTCCTTTCTGATTTCTCAGTCTGGTATCATTCTATCTATGGTTTCAGTCAATCTTTGCAAAGAATCAATGGAAAGTTCTTTTGAGCCTTGTATAGCTTTAGTATATGACTCAATTCTCTTTTCTAATTCTTGAATCTTGACCCATGCATTTAAGGCTGCTGTACAGCATAAGAGCAAAGTGTGTTCATCAAATGTAACTTGACTATTTTTATCAGCATAATGGCCCTTGCAAAAGTATTTGATCTTGGGGAATCTCAAAACCTTTAGCACTATTTTGCCATTCAAGGGTCTTAGCATCTTTCCTTAACCAGTTTTTCCATTCTAACTGAGGACCATACTCTAATACTGCTGTGAATTATTAATTCCAGTCACTTGGTATAATTTAGTTCTGAGAGGACCATGTATTCAATATCTGTCTCACAAACAGTGAATGCACACAGAAAACTATAACTTCCTTAATATCTTTTAAATCCATCAAATATAGGTTTCCATTTATATTCTCTATAATCTTTGGGATAACTGTCATTTGCTGGTCTTTCATAAATGGTAACAGAATAAATCAGGTTTGGTCCACAAACAACCTTATGCCTCTCATCTCTAATTCCATAAGTTAATGGTAAGGCAACTTTTAACCACTCACCTCCAGTTCCATCAGTTGATGATGACATAGTCCACCTCTGAATTCTTTCATATGTGTTGGAGCACTCTTAACAGTACTAATAAGTTTTTCTAAGGCTTGGAATTTACTAGTAGTTGCCTTAAAGAGGGGTTGAATTTTAAACAGTGAGTTGTTCTAAAGCCTTCATAAGATCACTCAGTTTCTAATTTTCTCCATTTGTAAATACCTTTAAAGTTTTTATCTTATCTGTCAAGGCTGTCTTATCTTCCTCAGTGATTAACTGTGCATATTATCTTCCGAAATCAGTGTCCTTTCTCCCAATTGCTCTTAACCATTCTCCATGGTCTGCATTTTTTCATCCAATTTCTCATTACCATATTGCAAAGTACTTATTACTTTAATCAGGTTCTCATCAAACAATTTTAAATTATAAAATATGAATTTCCAGGTTAATAACAATTATAGCTTAAAATGTTTTCATAATAGCAAGGTTGCTTATCTCTTCTAGAATCACATCGATAGTTCAAATGAACATATTCCTAATTGCCTCCATAATGACATTTTCAGCTGGTGACATGGCAAAGATTTATAAATTGTAAACTTTTTATTTTCTTATTTTTTAAAATTTATTTTTTATTCTATTATCTAAATTTGTCAAGTAATTTAAAATTTTAGAGAATTGCCATACGTGTAATAATCTTGATTGACCAGCAGATATTGCTAATGTTCATATGGCTAGTTCCTGTGAAGATTTTAGGATGTATTAATGATGTTTGGCCATCAGATATTACAGTTGAGACACCAGAGTACTTCAGGGGACATCCTGTATAGTGCTTTTTAAAAATTTTTTCCATTTAAAAATTTACACTTCCTTCCCTCCTCCCATTCCCCTCCCGCTCCCCCACTCACCATCCTCTCTTCCCCTCCTTCCTTAAGAGAGGGCAGGCAATCCTGCTCTGTGGGAAGTCCAAAGCCCCCCCCCCACATCCAGGGCTAGGAAGCTTTGCATCAAATAGACTAGGGTCCCAAAAAGCCAGTACATACAGTAGAAATGAGCATGTGATCAAACAGAACACTCTGAATGTGGCTGACAATGGGGACTGACTGAGAAGCCATTGATAAAGGTACTGGGACTTGTTTCTACTGTATAGTGCTTTGACTCAGGCTCCAGGACCTGACTGTTCTTTGGATGAAATTTCCACCCAGGCCACGCCCCCAAACTGGTACCTGTGAGTGCTAAGCAGAATTGCAGGGATCCCAGAAGGGGGATGCGAAAAAAATTACTTACATACATGGCCCACAGCAGATGATTTAAACCAAACAAATGTGGTTAGATACAAAAGCTTTACTCCATAGTAGTTGTCTGTTAGCATTTGATTGGATGGATTTGGAGAATTATCAGCATAAAGAAAATATCCTAAGCAGCAGCACCAAAATCTACCCAGTGTCTGTATAAGCTGAGCAGTACTGATTTGGGAGGAAACCCAACAGATACAAAGGTCTAGGCCACACAAGTACTGTGCAGCAATGTGTTCATGATAGCCCATCACAGGTACTTCCTACAGAAGGCAGAATGGAGACTGAGGTGAGGGAGGAGGACTATGGTGGGGTAAGTGTTACAGTTGTCTCTGGGACCTAGCATGAGCAATAACTGGGATTCCACAGCCACCACTAACAATATTGCCCAACCTGCAAAGTGTATGAGCCTCTGGCTTGGTGGAGGGCAATACTGAGCCAGTCTGCCCTCCCACTAGCCAAGAAGGGATTTTAAAAAGCGGGTGTGACACAGTTAGAAGAAGTAGAATCAGCCAGCTCCAGTGGGGGGAAGGTAGCATGGAACAGTACCTGGATGGCAGTTCAGTTACAGGTAGGGCTTGCCAAAACTGATGGGCAGTGGAGGAGTTTGGGGGGAAGCTTGTGGGGCAATGAGACCTTTCAGGAGTGTTGAGGGTACAACCACATGGGAGCCAGGTAAAGCAGAAACTTCAGGGACAGTTTTAGCATTTATTAAATCAAACCCAAGCACTATGATTGCAGGACAAAAGGGGAACTCCAAGTCACATCTCCAACCACTGTGGTGTACTGCCAGGGAACCAACTCTCCACTGCTGCTCTGTGACCCCTTTCCAAAGGGCCAAAGGAACTCCAAACATTAGCTCTGTTCATTCACTCACCATCCCAAAGAGAGAGAACACCCTCAGTTATTATTTGGCCACAGACCCAGAGAAGATCATGTCCTCAGACTTTCATGCCCCAGTTTCATTAGCTTATCAGACCAAATTCCCACAACGCTGGATAATGTCAAGCAGAAGAATTACCATGAACTTTGGTCCAGATAGTGAAAAGTGTTTCAAAACGCAAGTAATGAAAAAGAGGAATCATGGGTTTGTGGGAGGGGTGTTTGTTGGGTGACAGAAGCATGGAACATTGCCTAAGTATTAGGCTGCTGACATCAACAATACAGTAACATGAAAAAGTCAAGGGCAGTGAAATACAGGATAAAGAAGAAAGCTAGAGAAATAACCATTGACAAATAAGCATTTAAAGAGAAATACAAGGGTGTGTGGTAAGTAGACACAAGGGCATCTAAACAGCATTATATTAAATGAAAGGAGCCAGGTTCAAGGACAGATTCCATAACTGCATCCCTATGAAATATCTGATAGTCAAGTTCATTGCACTAGAATGTTGGATGATGATAGCCTAGGACTGGAGGAGGTGTTCAGTAGGAAGGTAGAGTTCACTGAGTACTATCTCAATTTTTCTAAGTCAAGCATTGGTAATGTGGTGGATGAGTATATTTTGTCCTTACACAATACGGACATTGTGAAAACTTAAAGTTTATGTTCTTTGAAACAGGTGCACTGTACATTGTCTAGTTGTATATTGTACTTGAGGCTTTTTCTAAAGTATTGTTGAAATGAGTGACCATCACTTTTCCTTCTTGTTCAGGAACAAACTGGATGATTGAAATTATCTCCTTGATTCAGACCAAAGGGAATCCCAAATGGATTCAATCTGTTCCCATTTGGGAACGCTCGCCCTGGCTAGAGTGTCAATATGGATATGAATTATCAATCAGTAAGGAAGGACCTCGTCTCATCAGCTCCCACCTTCCCTTCCATCTTTTCCCCAAGTCCTTTTTCAGTTCCAAGGCCAAGGTCAGTGTCCAGTGTTTGAGAAATCCTTTACTGAATGCTCATTGAACATATTCTACCAAGATAGGCCTTGGAGCTCTGCTGAAATGTACTCTAATTGTTTAAGTTGGGGGAGGGAAACTGGGATTCTCATGCACTAAGTGATGTTGATGTGTCCCTTCCTCAGATTACATCAGAGTACCTGGATATCAATTACTGCATAGTGATTCTGTGAAGGCATATGAGAGAAAGTGAAAAATAAACGAGCACATTCAGAAACTTCATATGTAGGTCAAGCAGAGTTCAAACTGTAGTGTACAGTGGTTGTTACTCTTTTGTTGTCAGCACAATCACTAAGCTAATCCTGATTCTACACAAAGTTCATGCTCTTTGGTGAATCACTCAAGGCAGACTCACAGGGCCAATGGTCTCTTCAAGGAGTTTATTTAACAGTCTATATCTCATCTCATGCCTTGCCATTTCTAGATGCCCTTTGAGATCAATAGGAACAGCTATTGTCTGTGCAACTGACTGATGATCTGCGTAAGGGTTCAGAGATATCTAGGTTATAACCTATTACAGCTCCTTGTAAGTAAGAAAGTTTTTTAGAAGTTGTTCTATCATTGAACCTTAAAATATTTTATGCTCGAGCTACAAAGACAAACTTAGAAAAACAAATTCTCTTGAAAATATCACAATGAATTGGGACCCTTCACCTATGTGCATGTGTCTTATATGAATTTGGCAAGCTCCTGGCTGAAGAATTTAAGGCTTATAGAGATGAATTCTAGAATAATATCACAAAGAGCCATGGGACAATTATAAATTTCATCTTATTAAAATCATTTATTTTTAATTAATTAATTTTATTTTGAGATTATAATATAATTACATGCATCATTTCCCCCTTCCTCTTTCTCTCATGACCCATATACCCTTTCTTTCTATCTTTCAAATTTATGGTCTTTTTTCATTAATTGTTGTTACATTTGTGTAAGTATATATATATCTTCGTATTAGTAAATACTTAGTTACTACCTGCTCATTCTTACCATATTACTTGTATCTTTTCATAGTTGAGAATTTGGATAACCAATTTTTAAGCTTTTATAAATGGGAGTCCATTTCTCCCATTCCCAGCATTTCTTAGTTGACTGTAGGTCTTTGTGCAATGACACACTGACTTTTGGCTTTGGATTATGATTATTTTGAGAGTTATATTTTGTAGTTACAGTTGCAGAAATCAAGTACTTTGTCATTTTGCCAATAGATTTATCATGGTGTTCATCATTCTGTGTGCATAAAATGTTCTAAAGGAATGGATCAATAGTCTTTCATGACATTAACTTATTGATCTTTCCAACAATTGCATCAGTCTTGGTTTGATGTTGGTTTTTTGTTTGTTTTTTAAGCAATATTAGTGAGCTCAGTCTTTTAGTTGTTACATTTTTTAAATCAAAAAGAAGTATAACAAGTGTTCAGACTATAGATATTTAAAATACTAAAATGTAGACTCACTTTTATATTTTGTCCACATAAAATAATAAATGTTTTAAAATTCTCTTGGATATTTGATTGATATTTTATATAAATGTGACAGGTAAAAGGTTTGAAATGACTATATTGACCTTCACTTATGTTTTTTCATTTAAGGTGATCTTTGTCATCAGAAATCCTAGAGATGTTCTTGTGTCTGGTTATTTTTTCTTGAATAAAACTAACCTTGCTAAGACTCCAAAGTCATTTGGAACTTATTTTGAATGGTTCCTCAAAGGAAATGGTGAGTGTCATGTTAAAAATGGGAGCTGGGAGAGTCTTAGAGATATTTTATAAGAAAAGGTAAGATGTAGCTTAGTCAAGGCTTCAACTCTCTGCATAGTCAGGGACGATCTTGAAGCTCTGTTCCTCCAGCATCCGCCTTGAGTTCTAGGCATACAAACACCTATTTACATGCTATGTTTATATAATACTGGTGCTCAAACCCACAAAACATCTATGTTATATAACTTGTCTATATCCACAGACATTAATATATTCTATAGCTTCTCTTGGTTCCATCATATCCCTCTACATACAACTGATCAAGGCTCTTTACCATTTTGAACCTAACTGAGAAGTCTTTCTGCTATCACATGCCACTGCAAAAAAAGCGAAACAATAGTTTTCCCCATGTCACTCCATCCTGGAAACATGTGGTGTAGGTAGTGTTTCTAGGACTAGTGTAGATATGATCATTTGTGGTGGTTTGAATGAGAAATGTTACACACAGGTTTCAGCATTTGAACACTTGTTTCCCAGTTGATGGAAGTGTTTCAAAAGATTTACAAGACACAAGACACAGAGTTGCTAGCAGAAGTATTACATTGAATATGGACTTTGGAAGATTAAATTCTTTTTTCAGTTAAATTCATTTATTTTAACCTTAACTGAAGTTGCCCTCCCTCATCCTTTCCCACTCTTTCCCCAACATCTCTGCCCATGTGATCCCCTAATCTACTCCTCCTATGTTTCTGCTGAGAAAGGGTCAGGCCTCATCATGTGTATCAACAAAGCATGGCATGTCAAGTTGAGCTAAGACTAAGCTACTCCCCTTGTATTAAGGCTAAACAAGTTAACACAGTATTAGAAATAAGGTACTGAAAACACCCAAAGCATTAAGGACAGGTTTTGTTATCATCAGTTGGAGTCGCATGAGAAGATCAAGATATACAACTGACACACATATGTAGAGGGCATAGGTTAGACCCCTGTAGGCTTCCTAGCTATTATTTCATGTCAGTTCACAGCCTTTGAGCTCCTATTAGCCCAGGATAGTTTTTTCTTTGGTTTCCTTATCATGACCTTGAACCCATGACTTATACTATGCTTTCTCCCTCTCTTCAAGAGGATTCCCTAAACTCTTCCCAGTGCTTTTCTGTGAATCTCAGTGTCTGGTTCCATCAGTCACTGGAGAATGGCTCCTGGTTGACAATTGGTACAGTAACCAATCTGATTACAGAATATGTCCAGTACAGGCTACTTATCTATTATTGCTAGCAGTCTTACCTTGGATCATCCTTGTAGAATCATGGGATTTTCCATTGCACCAGGTCCTAAACATGGTACCATTAGACCTTTGTTTCATTACTCTCCCCTCCATCTATGTACCCAACAGAATTCCTCATGTTCTCATTATCCAGTGTTCCCCAATCTACCTAGGAGATCTTCTATGTGCCCATGCTAGGACCATCTATATATTCCAGTCCCTTTTAGGGCTCTCCGTGTGATGTAACCTTCCATGGACTGTGGATTGCAGCTTGATTACTCTTTGTTTTGCAACTAATATCCTCTTAGGAGTGAGTACATACCATGTTTTTCTTTCTGTGTCTGGGTTACCTCACTCAGCATCATATTTTTTTCTAGTTCTGGCCTTCAAATTATCTGATGTCATTTTTTTCCACAGCTGAATAATACTCCATTCTGTAAATGTACATTTTCTTTATTTGTTATTTGATTGAGGGGCCTCTAGGTTGTTTCCATGCTCTGGTTATTATGAAAAACACTGTAATGACCATAGTTGATCAAATGTCTTTGTTGAATGTTTGAGCTTCCTTAGGGTATATGCCTAAGAGTGATACAGATCCCGATCTTGAAGTAAATTGATTGCCAATTTTCTGAGAAACTTCCATGTTGATTTCCAAAGTGGCTGTACAAGCTTGCACTACCACCAGTAGAGGAGGAGTATTTTGTTTCACATAATATGTTTAAATTCTTAAGTTGCTTACACCATCTTTCTATGTTTCCTGTTTGTAGTTGAGGAGATAACCTTACCTGACATATGTTGCCATTGCTCCCTTTCCACCATTATTATTTATACTTATCCATCTACAATCATAAGCCAAAACTAAGTATTCTCTGTCTTATGTAAGTTGCCTTTGTTCATGATGTTTTATCACAGCAAAAAGAAATAACAAGTGTGCTTGTCTTCCTATCATGATTCTGATTTGTGAATTTTCTTATCTTTTTCTCGGTGGCTTCCCATACAGTAACTTTCACCATTTTTTTAAAGCCATCTTTCCAAATATTGTAAATACTATTTTTTATTTGTCTCAAAATATTATCATAGGCAAGGATTCTTTACACTTTGCATTACTTTTATTGATTTATAATGATTAGATATAATAAATGGATTCATTATGACATTTCAATAATGTGCACAGGTCTTTCAGTCACATTAAGAGCCCTCTGAACTCTTCTGTCCTTTTCCCACTCTTGCTGCTCCTTATCCTCTTCCCAACTAGCTCTGCTTTCTACTTCAATGTCCTGATTTTCATCTGTAATTTTATGACCCTAGGAATTCTATTGGGTTTGCTCATTGGGAAACATGGAAGAAGTCATTTAGAGGAACATGGGTACCTTACCAGTAACTAGTTTACTAAAAATATTTATTTGTTTTAACCATCAATAAATAGCTGCCTATAGTTCCTGTAAGAAGTGGTATCATACTCTATGCCCCCTAACTACTCTTAACTATTTATAAAGCTTCAGGTAAGGGGTGGTTCTTATAGCATTTACTTTCTCCTTGCTATAACATTGAAAGACCCAGTTTTGTGTAGTCCTTGTGTAGTAATCACAGAAATTATAGGTTAAAGAGTATTGTGACCATATCATTTCTAGGAAAAAATATTCCACATCATTTAGCCCATCTTTTGGCTTTTTTGTCATTTCCACATTCTTCCTTAATGTTTCTTAAGCCTATATGGGGGTTTATATGTCTCATTTAGGGTGAGCATGGGAAAGGCACACATTCTCAGCATTGTGACCACTTTTGACACTCCAAAACTACCACTGCTCATTACCAGAAGAATCTTTTTGACCAAACTGACAAAAGTGATTTATAAGTACAAGTGTAACTATTTAGAAGACAGTTTGATATCCACATCATATCTGTTAATGAGAAAAATAAGTGATAGCTTCAACAGTACAAACTATTGCCTCCCAGGCATCAGAAATTGACCATGTTGACTGCACTAGATATAATCTCTTTTCGATCATAAAATGATTAGTTATCCCAATACCACAATTGCCATTATTGCTCTAGTGGGCATATCTTGTAAGCATGGTTGAAGTATATATCACAGTGTCCACAGCTCAGTAATAATGTTGATGACAATATCCCACTACCAGACTGCATAATACCTTTGGTAATATGAAAGATATTCAGCAAAAGATATATTCCCTGATAGCTTTCTTTATGTAGTATGACAAGAATATGAGAAGTTGGGTCTTACCAACTAGTTATTTGGGACAACTGACAACAGTGACAATTGCTTTTATTATTTGGATCCTCAGGCCCCTTCTAGGCAACAGTTTCTAGTGAGGTATCCCAACACCAGCAATGAAGTTTTTATTTATTATCCTATGACCCCTTGGAGCTGTATTGTCTACTCATACAAGTACCTTGACATAAACTTGTTAATATGTTTAATGAGCTTACAAACTACTGAGTTTCCATACGTCATTTTCATTATTCTTGTTTTGGCTAATTTTATACCTCATCTTCTCACTCTATCTTTGCATCAACCCACTGAATTTCATATTTCCTCACTTCATACCCATACCATTGGTGTTCTGGAATTTCTCTTTACTTAGGTCTCTTTTTATTATGTGCCTTCTAATTGTCTAACTTTCAGCTTCATTTCCTTTTTGTGCAGCTCAAGTTAAGCACACCAACAATTTGTTTATAATCCCAATATGAGAAAGAATGTGAAGTGTTTTTCTATCTGTGCCTGAGTTACTACATTAAGTATATTTTCCAGTTCCTTCTATTTTACTGAGAGTTTAGTAATTTCATTTATTCCTAAATAAATTTAACTTTGTACACCCATCACAATTTTATTTTTTATTTATCAGTTGATGATCATCTAATCTGAACCTATTTCCTGACTATTGTGAATAGAGCTTCAGCAAGCACAGGTGTTTGTGTGTTTGTACAGTCACATATACCTAATATTTAGTAGCATATACCTAAGTAATTTGAGTATATGCCTAAGATTTGATATCTGGGTCATATGGAAGTTCTATTTTCAGCTTTACATTCCACAGTGACTTCAATTATGGCTGTGTCATATTCCACTCACCACAGTGTTTGTCTTTCCAAATATTTTCTACTTAGAATTTAAAAAACTAAACTTTATGAAGAAACTTGGAAATAAATGAAAACAATATCCACTGAAATTAAGACTCAGAGTCTACATAAATTTATATGCAATTCATATACAGTTAGAATTAATATTTAAAAGATAAGCTGTGAAGCTTCATATTAAATGATCCACTTTTAATATTTCTTATATTTCACTCAATTATGAACCACAGAACCAAAAAAAAATCAATGACAAATTTAAAACTATATAAACAGTAACCTTATACTCTCTTTCAACTTTTTAATGATTAACTGTACCTATAACATTCTCATACGTTTTTGTTTGGATTTACTTCTATTTGATCTGCACTTCAAACATTTGTTGTCATTTGATTTCTTTCTTTCATTCCTTTTTTTTAGTTTTTAGAGACAAAAACTGTGTAACAGTTCTTGAATATTTTGTTTTCTTGGCAATGGCTATTTTGACCGGGAACAGATGAAATATCTATGTAGATTTATTTGTATTTCCCTGATGGCTAATGGATTGAATTATTTTAAAATGCACAGGAGACATTTTCTTTTTTAGTAAAACTGTTGGATTTCACAGAACGAGTTTTGCTCCATCTTTATTTTTGTTTTCCTTAATGTTGAGGGGTCAC